TCACTCGCGTGGCTTATCGAACGGGCAGGTTACACAAGCGAAAAATTAAAAAATGGCATTAAATCTTTTTTTTGTCGTTTTATTGGATTAAAGATTACGCGAGAAAAAAATACTTTTGTTTATCAATATTTTATTGGATTGGAAAAAATGCATTTTCGTTGAACGATAGTATTCTATTCTCTAAATGAAATTTCAATTATTTAGTTATGAATGATTAGGACAAGTTTAATTTATTTAATTTGAAAATTATCTAGATTTAATCATCTAACGATACCAAAAAGTTTAAACGAGATCTATATGTGTGTGTGTGTGTAAACTTTTGAAAAATGATTTATAAATTCAGAAATATTTTTCGAAAGACAAAAACACAACTTTATATTAACGAATATTATCATTTTGTTCATTCCAATATCAGAAAGAATTTTCAAGAATATCATACAGAACTTGAAGGTTGCTTCTACGATCTTTATTCAAATTTGAGGAGTTCTCATTTTCTCATCGTTTTCATATTTCTTCTTGTCGTCGAATTTATTTTTTTCAACGAGTAGGAATTTTCACGGGACGTTCATTTATCAATATGGGGATACACGATGTCGTCCATCATGCCCCTTTTTAATAACGGTTCCCTTTTGTCATCGCTCGTCAAACCTGCGTTCCTCTTATCTCCGTTATATCCGTAGTATTATCTCCCTCGATTCATTCGTTCTTCCCTTGCCTCGGGTTTCGTTGACGAAAAATTCGTCAAAAGGCCCCCTTGCGTCACAGCTGGTGTTTCCTTCTAATATTCCTTTCCAGACGATGATACAATTTTCTTTGTTGAATTTCTGGTTGAGAGTGAAAATATCGCGAAACGAATGCAAATATTTCACTCACATTTTTATTTTATATTTCTATAAACATCGTTTCATCTACTAAATGTTAGAACGAACACGCTGCATGTCGAGTGTTTTATATATCTGCGCGTTTTTTGCATCTTTAAATTTCTCATAAACGCACAAAAAATCCTGATCCGAAGAATATTTGTAGAAAACATTGAATTTCATTCTTTTCTTTTCTCTTTTTTTTTTTTTTTTTTTTATCGAAAAATAAAAATATTTGTATGCACATACCATCGGTAATACCACGCAATCGAAGTGGAATTTTGTGTTTTGCAAATAGCGGGTGCTTGCAGTAGCGAAACGTGGCATTCAAATCACTTCGGTGGTATTTTTCTTCTCTCCCGAAAATTCTGATGTTCGCCAGTTGCCGAACGTTTTTCTACAAACGCTCGTCGGATCGATCGCGAGGTTGCAAAGTAAATTTCCAAACTACGTCTCGTTTCAACGCATCTCTCTCCCCGAGTCTCGTCGTTT